ACATGGCTGTGTTTTGTTTGTTTGTTTTCATTTTCATCTGGCATTTTTCCTAGAAGCCATCAATGTTTCCCTGGAGATGCAATTCCTATTTTTCAGTTTCCAGAGAAAGGATATTCTGCTTCGCCTGTTGCAGTAGAAATAACATAGTGCCACTGTCCTGTACCCACCCCCAGTAGCTGCTACCTCAGGCAGCTGCCTCATTTTGCCCAATGTCAGAATGGGTGACATCTACCCTACCCAACTAAAAGTAACCAGATAATGAGACTGTAGCACTGATGGAAATCAACAGCACTCTCTGGTTAAAGAGGTGGTGCAGGCTGCTTTTGTCTCGCATCCAGCCCATATTTATAAATGGGTACATAAACCTGAAAAGCATTTTCTATATAAGAGTTTGCTATCAGCCTGTTATCACCATCCCCAAAAGATCAATAATTGCCAGAAATCCAATGAGATGGAAAACTAAATAAAGCATCAGCCTGGAATTGATTCTACTATATTGTTTAGAGCTTCAGTGGCATTTTCATAATCCAGAATGGAACATCAGTCATTTAGGGTAACTCCCTGGTTAGCTGAGAAGTGAATGCGTTATTAGGGATGAAAAGAATATTCACAGATTTTCTCATTCTCAATGAGGAAAGGTATCTCAACACACCAACACACTTTGTCTAATAAGCAGCAATAGTAATAATAATCATTCAAGTTCTGTGGGTTTTTCATCTTTGAGAGCAAAACAATAACAACATACCTGCATGGTTGTTGTTGTTGTTTGTGTGTGTTTTGTGGGAGTTTATGCTCAAAAATAATTGGCCAGAATCCTGAATCAGCTACTTAGTTAAGTATACTTAGATTTACCGATCTCTGTTTTATATTCATGATAGCTACTCAGCTGATTGTGACACTATTTCTGTGATCATAATCCCTCCCCAACTGACTTTGCCAGGCAACAGCTGCATGGGGTGAAGGTGATCCATTCTGCCAGTGGCAGGAACATGGGAGAATGATGTTCCTGTCAGGTTTGGGGTGGATTGGACCAGGAGAGGCTGACACAAAACTCCAGCTTCTTTTCTTTTCGTTTTACACAAAAAATGTGTTTTATGCAAAAAATAATGCATGCAAAAAAGTCTCATTATTTTTTACAATAGTCTTGCAAAACTATTGTAAAAATATGCTCAAGAACTTTCATAATCTCAATCAGTAGGGAGAGTGTTCGAAATTTTCTGTTATGTTGTGAGAGAAAAGATAAGCAAAGATTTTACATCCCTATCTGTTCATGGAATGTACTCAGCCCACCATATCCACAGATTCTACATCCACCAATTCAATCATCCACAGTTTGAAATTATTCCAAAAAAAAAAAATCCAAATACCAAATTTGGGGACCATTCACACTATATTTTAAATCAGTTAGCACACTGGTTTAAATTGGGGTCATTCACACCTGTGCCTGGTTTTCCTGACCTGAATATTTTTTTGGGGGGCAGGCAGTACAAATCCCCCTTAAGCCAAGTTTTTTGGAAATGGGTATTTTGGCGGTTCTTTTCAAAAGAATCGTTTTTCTGTGGGAGCTGCCAATGGGAACTCAAAATCGATCCCATTCATAGAATCACAGAAACATAGAGTTGGAAGAGACCGCAAGGGCCATCCAGTCCAACCCC